ATGAATATTAAAGTGAACAAAATATATATGGACAGCTATTGAAAAGCCCTGAAAAGTAAACAAAAGGAGGCAGAAACTGAAGCAGAAATTCCTTTTAAAGGAAGGTAATGTGATGCATAAGAATTGTGAGAATGTTTAACATTTTTGGTCTGAGAATGTTTTCCAAATTTCTCCTTCTACCTCAACATTGGTAAGTGGCTTCAGCCCTGAAGATTTAAGATGGCAGAGGATGGAGTTCAGAGCTTGCAAAGCAACTAGAAAGCTAGGGAGGAAATCCTATAAGCAAGTGGAGATAGCTAAACAATGGGGGTTAGAAAATAAGGGAATGACAAAGTGCCAAAAAAAAGTGAAGCATTACAAATTCTATTTATAATGAAGCTATTGCTCAAAAATTAATACAAAATAAAGACATTTCAGATCAATCTAAATTGGGAATGTGTTGCCAAATAACCGAACCACAAGAAATATGAAAGAAAGTTGTTCACGTTGAAAGAAAGATAACTTTGATGTGTAGGAAGAGATGTCTTTAAAAGACATGTTTCCATTAAAGCAAAAGTTATAAATAATGTTGTTGAGTTTATTGTGTATGTTGATATGAATATATGATAAACGTATAGAAAACCAAACTGTGACAAGAATCTGTATTTTACCTGAGGTGATTCAATATTAACTCTAAGTGCATTGTGATAAATTAAGAATGCATATATTAATTCCTGAAGCAACCACTAAAAAATAATGCAAAAGCTTGAAGCTAAAAAGCCAGTAGAGGATTAAAGTGACATACTAAACTACACCTGATTAACACAAAAGGAGGCAAGAATAAAATTTCAATGAAGTAGCAAAGGAACAAAAAATCAGATGAGATAAATAAAAAACCAATAAAAAATGATAGGCTCAAATCTAACTATTAAGATATAACTATATTAAATGTAAATGGACTAAACATTCCATCAAAAGGCAGAGATATTGGATTGATAGACTGCATAAAAATTAAAACCCAACTACATGCTATTTATAAGAGAGACACTATAAATACAAAGACATATACAGTTTGAGAGTAAAGGGATGAGAAAAGGTATACCATGCAAATAAAGAGCAAAAGAAAGCTGAAGTAACTATATTAGTATCAGACAAAACAAACATTAAATGGTATGTGACACACCTCTTGGGGGCAGGACACAATTATAAGGGGGACTTTACCTACAAAATGCAATCAGCATAACCTGGTTCTCTGTATCCTCAATGAATCCCCAACAATAACAAAAAAAAAAAAAATCAAAACAAAGACAAAAAATAAAAACAACAACAACAAACCTTAAAATGAGTATAACTAGAGACAAAAAAGACATTTAATAATGATGAAAGAATATATACATCAGGAAAATGCAATAATTATAAGTCTATATGTGCCTAATAATAGTGCTTAAAAATAAACAAAGCAAAATTTTTCAGAAAGAGTGAAAAAATAGACAAATTCACAATCACAGATGGATATTTCAAGCCTCTCTTTCAGTAATTCCTAAAAACAGTAGGTAAAAAATCAGTATAGGTATAAAAGACCTAAATACTGTCAACCACCTTAACCTGACTATTTATAGAATATCATACCTAATAACTGCAGAATACACATTGTTTTCAAGTGTATGTGTAACTTTTCCCAAGAAAGACTCTAAAACAAGTTTCTCTTGATTTGGAAAATTAGAATCCTACAAAATATATTTTTTAACCATGACTAAGTTAAAAATCAATTCAAATCAGAGAAGTAGAAAAATATGAAACATTTGGAAATTTTAAAACACACTTTTGAATAACACATGAAACAAAGAAGAAATCATGAGGAATAGTAGGAAGTATTTTTAACTGAAAGGTAATAAAATCACAAAACAAAATGTATTGAAATCTGTAGGAGGCAACTAACACAGTGCTTAGACAGAAATTTATAGCTTTATACAATTGTATAAGAAGAAAGATATAAAACCAACTTTTTAAGCTTCTACCTCAAAAGCTAGAAACAGAAGAGCAAATTGTAATCAAAGTAGATAGTGAGGAGATGGTGAGCTGGATACAGCATATGATCTAGACTGGTGGAAATCGGATGAATTAGGCAAGTGATTGCAACTGGCTGGGATCAGATGATTGCCCACAGAGGCCCAGGATGGGAGGAAGCCTTTCTGGAGTTTTCAGTTGTTGGGTGAAGCTATGTATTGAGTGGAAAACTGGGAAGAGTGCGTGGACATGAACAGTATGCAGCAACCAGAATTGAATGCCGGTTGGAGTGGACTTGCCATAGGTTTGGTGGCTGGTGAGGCAGCCATACTGAGAAGATCTCAGAGGCCAAGGGGCTGTCATTGTGGTAAGGTCAGCCCAGGGTTTAAGCAGGGGCCTAAAACATGGCCATCTTAATTCTGCCTGCTGGGATCAGAACTCCACTCTTGGGACAGGCTGAGGGACCCTGCACCTCAGAGGAACTGGCATCAGGGGGCACTGTGAGACTTGCCCCTGAAGCATTCTTGTGACCTTTAAGATTCCAACCCAACAAGATCTGAATGCAGGGGAAACCATCAGGTCATCACCTAAAGCAACTAAGTTTGGAATAATGACCATACAGGTTCCTGGCTGTGCTCTCTGTCCCCTAAAAAAAACCACAGTGCTGGGATGTGGAGCATGATGGCGGATGGCAAAGAGGTTTAGCTGAGCTCTCCTAGAACAACAGGTAAGAGAGAATGGCTAGATCATACCTAGTGTGCAATATTGGTGTGGAGTGGCAGTTAGGGGTGTGCAGGGGTGTGCAGCGAGGTGGTGAATTACTGGACTTGGGAGTGTAATCCGGAGCTGCGGAGACTGCCAGTCAAGTTTCTGCAAGCCTGCCCTGGCCCCAGCTGCGGTCAGCAGGGAGCCCCTTCCCCCGGCCCTCTCCCTCCGAGAAGCCGATTGCAGTTTTCAGCTCTTGGGGGAAACTAGGCATTAACTGGAAGGATTGGTAAAGTGTGGACTCCCAAGCAGAATTTTGTGGCCTGAGTGGGGTACTGTCTGGAGCGGCTCTGCTGCGGTTTGGTGGTGGGCAAGACATCCTTGCAGTGAAAGTTCGTGGCTAGGAGGTAGCTTTTCTTGTAAAATTCTCAAAAAGGCTGTGTGTGCAGTCCTCTTTCCGCAGGCCTAAAGCATGGCGGTCTGAGTTCCACCTGCGGGGAGTCATCCTACACTCAGGGCAGACCCAGGATATCCCATACTCTATGGAAACTGTTGCAGGGGAAATCTGTGAGATCTGCCTCTGAAGATTTTTTTGAGATCTGTGGAATCACAGATCCGCAGGGACTGAGCGCCAAGTGGATAAATGGGAGATCACCCAAGAACAATCTAGCTGGGAAACAGGTATAAGCCTAGGAACCACTCACGGTGCCACCTGGTGTCCAGAAAGTGTATTGCAACATAAATATGTTCCTGCTAAAGTCAACCTCTCTGGCATATATATATGTGTGTGTGTGTGTGTGTGTGTGTGTGTGTATAATTTTGTTGTTGTTGTCCTTTTTGCTGTTTTTTTTTCTCAGCAACAAAAACGAAAAATAATTAGTGACATACACAACAACATGGGGCCATCTCAAAGCATTGTGCTAAGTGAAAGAAACCAGACACAAAAGTGTGGCATAATACATATGATATGATCCCATATCTATAACATTCTAGAAAAGGGAATCTAGTCTAGAATGACAGAAAGAAAATCAGTATTTGACTGGGGCTAGGAGTGGGAGTCAGAGGATTGACTCCAAAGAGACATGAGGAAATTTTTTGTGGTAATGGAAATGATTTAAATGTTGATTGTAATGGTTTTCATCATACAGAAAATATTTATCATACATTTTATTTATATTTTTTATTTATCATACATATTTATCACACACATTTAAGTATGTGATAAAAAATTATATACTTGCTCAATTTATTATTTAACCTATTTCTGAAAGATTAAAATAGTAAATATGTTAAGGTAGAAAAACTAGATATAGAAGAAAATATTTATCAAACTATAAAGCTTTCAGAGTTAACAAATGAATGTCTCAAAAGCCAATTAAAATGACAAAACATTAATAATTTAATTATATAAAGAACTCATTCAAACTGATCAGGAAATAAATAAAAACAATACATGGGGAAAGATGGGAATACACAATTCACAAGCAAAACCATAAAAAAAAGTCTAATCTGGAAATTAAAGAAATTTAAATATGTTAATTCCATAAATTAGAGAAAAAATTAATGTTGGCAAAAATAAAATATGATTAATTATTAAAATATACTGCTGATAGCAAAGTAAAATGATAAAAGCCTTTTGAAAAATATTTTATCTATATATATTTTTAAAGCATTAAAATGTATCTTTTAATCTAGGAATTCCATTTTTAAGAATCTATCCTGACAAAATAATAATTAAAAAATAGCTTTATGCAAAAAGATACTTGTGACAATGCCATTTGTGTTACTAAAATATTAAAGTGGTTAAAAATATTATGGTTTATTCTGATAAAATATTATATAGCCATCAAAATTAATTCTTATAGAAACACAAAAAGAACTACTTAAATCTAAACATAAAATCATAACTAGAGTATATTATACTAGAGTATAAATGTTTTAACATAATAACTAAGTAAATGACACAAAGTCTATTAACCAGTTTGATGAAAATATTTCAAATTGTATATGAAAACACTACACTGTACCCTATGTTTGCATTAATGTACACAGCTATCATTTAATAAAAAAAAATAAAAATAAATAAATAAAATCATACGTGTGTTTATTATAAATGTACTTTTAAAAAACTTCTAAAGACAATTTTAAATACATACAAAAATAAAACTGACTCTGCCATCATTAGTATTGAGGAATTGAGATTATTAGTGACTTCTTTCTCTCTTTCTATAAACTCTATTGTAATCATAACTCTTTTAGGTATATTTGTTGAGAACCTTAGCACAGGTGAGTTAAGGGAAAACACTTACTCGGCACTGTGAGTTTCTGTGCTATTATTGTCCTTACTACCACATCTCGCCATGAACACACAGTTGATGATAACGGTGCAGATGATGAACATGCTGAATAATGTGGCCAGCATCCATTAAGGCAGATACACTGCAGGCAGAACGTGTCATTGTACTGTGGTGAAGGTTGTGGGTGCCCCTCCAGGTACCCTGTTCTGTAGGTACATCTATCCCCTGACTGTGAATGTTGGCTAAGAACTATCTCCTCCTCTGTCTTCTCTGAATGTCAACCTCCTCGCCTGGAGAGGTACACTCCCTCTTCCTCATGTCTGACTGATTAAGACCCTTGCTTGAAAATCAGACAATGCACATTTAAGAGTTAGCCAGGGGAACATGCTGACACAGATCCAGCTGAGACCACATTCTTACTTGGTTCTGCCTTTTGCCCATCCTCTTCTCTGTCTCCTTCACCAGAGGGTGCTCCTCCATTAAATCACCTAAATAAGAATCTCCATCTCAGGCTCTATTTCTAGGGAACTCTTACCTAGTTATTCATCACCATTCTCATCAGTATTTTATTTCTACCAATCCATGTCTTTTTCTCCTCCCCCTGTCTAAAACGGCCAAATATCTCCTCCACCCTTTGCACACATGCTTGAAAATTCCTATCTGCCTTTATCCTTTAAGACAGAGCTTCAAAAATCTAAGTCTTAAGAGCCTGGAAAGTCTCATAAAGGGTACAATGGGCTGCTGGGGGGGCCACAGGAGGGGTGTAGATGAAGTGAAGCAGAATTTACACCCTCCTTCTAGAGGAGGCATCAGTTTCTCACTACACCAATTTTTGCCACATAAGAATATGGGCCTACTCTTGCCAGGGGTTCCATTTTTCAAGAAAAACTGGAAATCTGGAGTATATATGTTAGAAAATATTTCTTAAAAGTGTTAAATACTATGTAGGTCCAACACAATACATTTATGGTGGCTTAATTTGGTGCATGGGTTGCCAAATTGGTCCATGGTTGTTTGGGTGTCAACTATATGTTCTTTCCATCAAGAAGCCACCCTTGATGCCTCTAAAGCACAGCAGTACCTCTCCATGTGGCCACTTCCATACTACTGATCTCAGTAAAGAATTGCCTCCTTTTGGTCTATCTCTTTCTGAGCCCCAGGACCCCAGGGCAGGACCCCCCACACCTTGTTCACACCCAGAATCCCACATTGTTCCTGCCATGCAGCCATAGGTACTTGGCCAATATTTATGGAAATAATGAGCTATTTGCCTCCACTCAACAAACATGTGAACACCCTGGATCTTGTGCACTTTTCCCTTAACCTGGACTCACTAAAAGGTACAATAAAAGGATATGAATGGACGGAGATTCTAATGGCAAAACTTCTGATTGAATTGAAAGGCCCAAAAATGAACAAGGCACGCTTGGCACTGAAGCGGTAGATTGTTCTCTTTTTGTTCAGAACCATAAATGTCTGCAAAAAATCAAACACAACAGGAATTAAATGCAGTGACAAAACAATATTTATCATCAATTCATTTAGAGAAAATTCGGTAGGACCATGGTTTGAGGCCTGATTTGCCTTGTGAGAACCACTGTTTCTGATTTCAGAGTCATTCTGATCAGTTTCACTGTGACTCTGGAGACCAGTAGATCCCCCATATGGCCCCTCAAGATAAGTATTAGACTGTGAACTATACACCTGATGGGATACTCTGGAAGAAACAGAGATAGGAAACAGAAGCTCTGAAAATACCAAAAATAGGAGTATAGAGTAATAATTGAGGAAAACAAAACCCCTAATACTGTGTACTCCATGGTATATATCTGCAAAGACCAATATTAGAAGAGAATTTGAAGAGACAGTTGATTATTAATGAAAACTTTGTAATGAATCTTAGAATATTAAGTGACCTTAACTTAAGAGAGTGCATATTGTTATGCCTCTGGTCTAAGCATAAAATAACCAATATATTCCAACCTTGATGATCTTTAAAAAAAAAAAAAGTCGCCAAGGTTCCCAGACTTGCTCTCCCATTCCCACCGTGGGCATAGAGGCAAATCTGCCTATGGTTCTTAACTGCTGGTAGAAGAGGATACTGCCTCTACAGAAGGCATTTTGAAATGTCCTTGAGGGTTTGGGTGGTCTGTCACAATGCTGGGGGCTCTACTGGCTTTTAGGAAGGTCCAGGGATGCCAAACCCAGAACAGACCTGCAAATGGTACCTTGTCCCACTCAAAGTGCCCGGTTGAGCCCTATTGAAAAACACTGCACCTATCTCATTTCCTCCTAGCCTTCCTGGGCTCTGGGAAAGAAGCAGCCCCTGGACAACAACCTGTCACTCACATCAATACCCAAGACTTCCCTCTTTCCAGTTAACTGTAATTAGACTGTTGCCTTATCTATTCCCAAATCCATCAATTACAAAAGCCTTCACAGAGTGAGGTTCACTCCTCTCACAACTCCTTTCAGATTTATAAAAAGTAGTACTTGACCAAGCAAGAGAGATAGCCCTTGGCTCCCAGACTCAAAGACACCAGAGAAAGTTCTGCCTTGACTGAGGTTCCAGTATTTAAGCCACTACCGGCCCTTAGCCTTCTTTTAGTTGAGTTGCTGGAACTTACTGGCCTAGTGGAAGGGAAAATAGTGGACTAGGATATTTTCCCTTGCCTCCAAAGCAATGAAACAAGGGACAGAGCTCTTTAAAAACTGTGAGCCCAGAAGTCTAAATCTGCTTTGGGGATGCTGTGCCCTTCCTTTGAATAGACAGACAATTTTAGGACAGAAGCAAACCTCTCTTTGAGTGAGTCACCCAGATTGATAGGTGGCATGATATGATTTTGCTTCTGTGCCCTTTGATTTTGATATTTTATTCATACTTCTTCTTAATGCTGTAAATATTTTAACTAATGGTGTATTTATGCTTGCCAGGGCTTTAATGATTAAAATGATACGTACTGGCTCCTTCTGCCTGCTTGCTGACACAACTTCACTCCTTTTACTAATTGATCTTCAAAACAGGACCCTCTTAAAAGGACATGGCCTGGAACTATAGAAAAAGCCCTTGGGTTTGCTCCACCACTCACTGGCTATTTGAGCTGGCATAAGCAAACTCCCCATCTAGGTTTTGGTTTCCTCATCTATAAGGTGAAGTGCTAAGTATGACTAGACGTACCTCACATGACTGTCAAGAGCACTGGCCGTGTGAGATCATGGGTGTGCAGAGCTCTTAACAAATGTCATATATTATGATTTAAAGGGAAGAGGTGAAAGAGGTGGTCCTAGAATATTCTCCTAGGCTGGAATAGAGCCTTTCTTCCCAGGACTGTTGGCAGCACACCAAGATGATGACTGACTCATGGGTCTCCTATGCAGCATTAAGGCAAAGGGAGACCTCCAGAAGTTAACTCATCTCCAACAAGCCCCTGGAATTTGGGGACATAAAGAGAAGGAGAAATATTATAGTATTTTGCTCCTTCATCTCTCTTCCCCTTGTCTTTTCTACTTGTACTCTACTTTCCTCTCTACGCATGGTTTTCACTTGTCCTGGTAACCCTAAGTCTCTCTAAATTTAAGGACATGCAAACCAATCAACCTTTCTTTGTGAGGTCAGTTATTCACAGTCACCAACAAAAGATTCTCTCAGCACCCCATAATTTCTAGGGCTTCTCTTAAGTTCCCAGCTTCCTTTCCTCCACCCCCAGCCTCAATCTCAAGGAGAGTTTTGCATCATCTGCTGGATCACACAGTGAGATGATGATGGCAAGGTCTTCTGAGCCTTTCTAGAAAGGGGACAGTTTGCAGAAAACTGTGCTCACAGCCCCAGGCTTTAGAGAAGCCATCAGAGGAGCCCAAAGTTCATATTTTGTATGAAGCCTCCTTAAGGAAATTTTACTAGAATTTCCCTGCAAAAACTATATCCAGGTAGATAAAACAGCAAGGTTTTTACATATGCACATCAGATTTACATATAATCTGCTTGGTTACCATTTTCTTAGCCTTCAGTTATGAGCTCCTAATATGCTCAAGTATTCATTTGACCTTCATTAATTTCATTTAATAGCCTACAAGGCCTATTGTCAAAGAGCTTTTGAAGGTAATATCTTATTGCTGGAATGAGCATTTCTGGACAGCATAGTGCTTAAAGTCATGGTGCTTTCTTAGCATGTCTATGCCATAGTGTGGGAACATCAGGCATTATTATCATTTTTCAAATTCCGGAAATGAAGGTTTGTGAAGTGACTGGACCAGAGCCATAAATTTGCAAATCTCTTGAAACGGCCTACACCTAACTTCTGGGACTGCTAATACAATTCCCTCTCCAGATACCATTTGTGTTTTCTCTGTTCTCCTTTTAATCTTTCTGTGGTTCCTTGTCCTTCTTCCCTAATACACACACTGCAGAGAGAAATTGAGACTGAGAGGGGATCTCAGGACTGTGAAGGCAACAACAGGAGGTGAGAGCAAAGGAAAGATACAGCCTGCCTTCTGCAAACCCCAGGGTTGGAGAGTCTGTAACACCAGTTATAACTGCATGGTTAGAACATCCCCGCTTTCCCAGTGAAGCACCTTATGATTTCTGTAGAATGGATCCAAGTCCTCCAGGGGCTTTGCTATCAGCTCACAGGGAATGTCACCATAGAGCTTGGGCAACTTCCTTGAAGCCCGCAGGTCAAGCTGAGGCCGAGGTGGGGGTTCATCCCCTGTCTTCTCTTTAGCTTTTTTTTTCTCCTTTTGGATGGTGATCCGCTTCTCAATTGCAGCCAGAGAATCAGAAGTGAAGGGGCGGAAATTGCGTGCATCTGGGAAGATCACTGGGTAGCACCTGTCATCCATCTTCACCCTTCGGACAGAGACAAGCCACAGATCCTCAGAGAGCTCTCAGAGGGTAGGTAAGAAGAAAGCAGGCTGACTGGGGTTAAACTCTCAAAGGATGGTGTCACAGGCATCTGCAAGAATAGAGACTGAGGTGAGGGGTGGGGAGCTGACTGGTAGTGGGGCAGGTCAGAAGAGGTGACTACCACTGTGGGGGTAGCAGGGACTTTTAGTACAGACAAGACCAAAGAAGGGCAGTGTTCCTGGAGATGTATGGTGAGGTGACAAGTTGAGTTTAGAAACAAGTCAACAGAGGAAACCCATTCTCTAAAACTGAGACTCAAGCACCAAGCAAAATGATATGGCTAAACTGGCTAAACTGCTAAGTGGGGCCTGCAGACAGGTGGACGCCATAATGCAAACAGAAGGGAAAGGAATAGGGAATCAAATGGGCCATCGCTATGGGTTTCAAAAGCAAAACTGTTAAGTGCATGGGTCTTTTCTCAAAGTTCTGAAAATATGACAGAATGGAAACAAAAGATCCATAAATATTGATACTAACACCTATGGTCCCATGACAACTCCCTTACTTCCAGGACCTCAAGAAAGCAGAAAGGATTTGCCAAAGGTAACAGGGTCACTCCATTACAGGAGGATGGCTTCTGCAGGGACTTTCTCTGTAGTCCCAGGGTTAAAACTAGACTCAGAAAAAGCAGTTCAGTTCAAATGCCTTTATTTCCCATGACAGGCATCCTCTTCCTTTTTTTTAAACTTAATGCTAAACTAGTATTGACTCTCACATCCCTCCGGGGAATTACAGGGAGGAATCCAACTGGAATACCACTGGTTTGTTTACTCAGCAGCTATGTGCCCAATGTCTTTCTAGCCATGGGTGCTAGGAACTAATGGTGAGAAAACCCCAAAGTCCCTAGTCCTACATTTATTCTGTCCTGGTGTGGTAGAGAAGACAGAGACGAGAAATTACAATAGAACAAGTGTTCCTATAGGGAGCAGTAGAGGGTGCTATGTCTGTGCATGAGATCAATGTCTAACCAGATCTGGAAAATCAAGGATGGTCTTCTAAAATCAGCACACTGTACCCCATAAATGCATTAATATATACATTTAAAAAATTAAAAAATTATATGAAAAAAATAAAATAAAAAATGATTCTGAAGAACAAAACAAACAAACAAAAAAAGGATGGTCTTCTAAAGTTTCAATATCTAAGTTGAGAGCTGAAGGAGACTTAAGGGGAACAATGGGGACATTAGGGTGTTGCAGGGAGAGCAAACATTACACAGGGATTCTTAGGTGAGAAGGAATATGGTGTCCAGCAACTAGTTCCATTTGCCAGGATGGAGATTTCATGGAGTGCAATGGCCACATAAGGCTCTAGTCTGCAGAAAGAGAGCACATGCAGGCCTGTACACTTGATAAAGACCACAGACTTCTTCAAGGGTAATGGGGAGTTACCAAAGGTTCGGGTTTTTATTACTACTATTGTCATAAATGCAGAAAAGCAATACTATCAGGTTTGTTAAAAAGAAAAAACAAACCTCTACCTATTAGAAATTGATAAGTCTTCACACAAGAGGGTGAAGGGGGGGAGAAGGGGAGGAGCATCAGAGAAATGAAGCTGGAAACTGTGCAGCCCGTTGAACTGCAAAGGATGATCTAGGGAAATGGATGGATTTGAGTTACTAGATGGTCCTTACCGAGGTTCCTGGCTCAGGCAGCTGGGAGAACTGTGATTCCACTAACTGAGCTAGAGAGCAGAAGGGAAGGAGGACACTGAGTGGGAACAAACTCAGTTCACAGCACATGGAGTTAACCCTGCTCGGGAGAACTGCAAGTGGAAAGAACAACAAGGCACTTGAATACAAGGAAATCATAGTGTACACATGTCCGGTTCTAAAAAGAGTATGAAAGAAGAAAAATGCCGACAAAATTTCTCTTGAGACTCTCTTAGGAGGAGCCCACACTAACAAAGTATTTCATTTCATTTCTCAATGAGTTCAGTACAGCCAGCTTTTCTTTCAGTGCCAGAAAAAAGCAGTCTTTCTTCAGTTAAACTCCAAACAAGGTAGCTAGCTTGTGTTTAAAGGCCCTAGTAAAGGCAATGTATGTATTTTTAAATATGCGATGTTTACAGCAGCAATGTGATGCTAATACTGTGAGAGCTACATGTCATCTGAAACCAAATGTGAGGGTTGTAGATTCACTGCATTCTGTTCTGCATTCATTCAGGTTCAAGCTCATTATTGATGGTCCTGGAAGGTGGAATTGCCCATACTGTTTCAATTCCCCCTCCCTCTCTCTTCCACTCATCAACATATATAATTCAATTTGTATAAATGAAATAAGCATATAATGAGGCTCTACTGTACTTGTCTCCAAAACTCATGAAAGACATTTAAGACAGGGATTACATCTTTTGCAGTCAACAGCATATAGATTCCAGTTAATTCTATAAAATGGATGAGCTAAGAAAGACTCTGGACCCTATCCTAAGTTATAGCAAGGAACCCAATGTAGGGCTACTGTCATTATAATAAGACTATCAAAGAAGAAATTGGCTGCTTTGATCCCATGTTCTGACCTGGGGGGATATTTTTGCCTGGGTTCTTCGAGTAAAGAAACTTGATAAAATAAATCACACAAACTAAAACTGACAACCCCGAAACTGCACACATTAAAGTTTGTTATAAATGATGGAAAAACTGAAAAGCCACATCTTAAAGTAACTTTGAAAATTGCAAAAATTAGGCTCGGCCCCTATAGCTCAACCGGCTAAGGCGCCAGCCATGTACACCTAAGGTGGCGGGTTCGAATCCCCAGCCCGGACCCGCCAAAACGACAATGACGGCTGCAACCAAAAAATAGCCGGGCGTTGTGGCGGGCGCCTGTGGTCCCAGCTACTTGGGAGGCGGAGGCAGGAGACTCGCTTGAACCCAGGAGTTGGAGGTTGCTGTGAGCTGTAATGCCATGGCACTCTACCCAGGGGGACAGCTTGAGGCTCTGTCTCAAAAAAAAATAAAAATAAAAAAAATAAAAAAAAATAAAAAAAAATAAAAAGAAAATTGCAAAAATTGGCCCAGAAAGATAGGACTTAATAAAAATTATTAACTCAAGTAAATCCAACAATATAAACTCACATGCAGTAAAATGTGCTTATTAACTGGAAAAAAATGATGGAAAGATCAATTCCTTAATAGTAGTAAACTCAGAGCCAGGCACAGTGGCTCATGCCTGTAATTCCAGCACTCTAGGAGGCTGAGGCAAGTAGATCTCCTGAGCTTAGGAGTTCCAGACCAGCCAAAGAGACCCTGGCTCTACTAAAAATATAAAAGGTAGCCGGGCATCATGGCAGGTGCCTGTCATGTCATCTACTTGGGAGACTGAAGCAAGAGAATTGCTTAAGCCTAAGAATTTGAGGTTGCTGTGAGCTATGATGCCATGGCACTCTACCCAGGGCAATAGAATGATACCATGTCTCAAAAAATTACATTTAGTAAACTCAGGAAAATTGACTGTGGAACTAGAGGCTTCATCCACAAAATTAATAAACTTAATAAATTAATAGAAAATCAACATGGTACATACTATAATTGGTAAAATTTGAAATGACTCAAATCTTTATTGTAAAATTTGTACAGAAAATACTTAATTTTGAAAATTTTCTGTATAGGAAATAGATTGCATTGCTAGAAAATTGATTAAAACACTAAATTGGCGGCTTGGCACCTGTAGCACAGTGGTTACGGCACCAGCCACATGCACCAAGGCTGGTGGGCTCAAACCCATCCTGGGCCAGCTAAGCAACAATGACAACTACAACAAAAAAATAGTCGGGTGTTGTGGTAGGCGCCTGTAGTCCAAGTTACTCAGGAGGCTGAGGCAAGAGAATTGCCTAAGCCCAAGAGCTGGAGGTTGCTGTGAGCTATGATGCCATAACACTCTACCAAGGGTGACAAAGTGAGACTCTGTCTCTAAAAAAACAAACAAACAAAAAATAGCTGGGTGTTGTGGTGGGCACCTGTAGTTCCAGCTACCTGGGAGGCTGAGGCAAGAGAATTGCTTAAGCCCAAGAGTTTGAGCTTGCTGTGAGCTGTGACACCACAGCACTCGACCAAGGGAGACATAGTGAGACTCTGTCTCAAAAAAAAAAAAAAGAAAGAAAGAAAGAAAGAAAGAAACATTAGAGCTATGGTTCTCAACCTGTGGCTTGCCACCCCTATGTAACAATGAAAATACATTGTGGCATTAGGAAGGTTGAGAACCACTGCATTAGAGGATAATGAACCTTAAAACAGGTTGTAACAATCAAGTTTCAGATGTATTTGAGTTCCTTAAGGCCTTT